GGACCTACGGAACCTTGATAATTAGGAAGTATGTAGCCTCTCCAACAAGTCTGCAATTGTAGTGAACCACGAAATTGGCTCGCAGAGTGGTTAAGAAATCGACTTTACCCTTTCCGGCAGCTTTTCCAGAGAACGTAAAATTCCATTTATCATCTTGGATATTCCAGAGATCGCATGCGTTTTCTAAAGTTCACCTTAAAATCGATGAGTCGACTATCCATGGCTGTAAGTTGTCTTGTGGGTCGAATAGGGCTTTGACAACTTATAACAGGCCGCATAACTATTATACTTCACCGCTTACAATCGGTCCAACTATTTAGAGCCTCGCTATTTCAAGGATTTGTGTTGTGAGTCATTGAGACTAGGCGATACCGAATCAGTCAAACACCGACTCTCATAGACCTGTGGGTTTTGCATTAGTTCAACTCGGGCCGATTTTGCATGGAACGAATTCGGGAGTGCTCCACCGATCCCAGTTAATCGGATTAGCATTTAAAGTTGGCTATTGCTCCTCACCGTGCACACGCCCGTTCCATGTCACCAAATTTGGAAAACCGCTAAAAGTGGAGTATTAAACGAGGGTCGGGTCATAGAAATAGAATAGAAAGAATCCGTCAAAATAAACTCAATTTTCAAAAATAGAGTGAAAAGCCAATTTTCAGCCACATTCGCTAGCCCATTCATATCCCGGAATCATTTGTACCTCTTCTATGGACATGATTATTCAAGATTTATGCTTGTTCCTCTTACTGGTTGGTTTGTTTTTTTTGTTTGTTTTTTATCTTGTTTATTTTCTCTTGAACTTACCGAATTTACTCACTGAACTTACTGAACACCAGGAGTGGGAGGCAAAGTACTGATCATAGATCCATTTTTAGAAGAACCGCACGCAAAGATATTATGAGATATAAAAACAGAATTGAAAGCTGGAAAGCGTGAAGATCAACTCCAATGTTAAAGACCAGACAACCTCTCTCGGTTCAAATGAAAGGTCCATTTAGAGAGGGGGAGGGTGATGGGCAGGGGAGGGGACAGGGATGGAGACTGTGAACTCGTCTACCCTTGGAGAATACAGAGTGACCCGACACGAGGACTGCGGCCGGTCCCATAAGGAATTCAAAACTGTTGTTATAACCTGTGGATATGTATTTAATTCGGTGCCAAGTGATGCACCATCTCACGTATAGTTATAGTATGAGGATAGAATTCCGGATTGATACCCCTCTAAGCCAGTCAAGCTATAATCTCCCGAGGTTCGTTAGTTGGTACAAACTCGTGGAGAAAGCGTGTTTATTGATGGATATGAACTCTTGGTGGAGATGGTGTAGTGGCAAGTGGTGTGCTATCACAAGCGTCGTCCAGGGATTGGATCTCAGATTGATACCCATTCAGGCTTCCGTAATGGCTTCGAGGCTCGTTTGGGGAAGTAATAGCACATGGGCTGGTCCTTGTGTAGTTACATCGGCTGGTCACTGTGAAGATGACAGAAGTTCCAACCGCTACTGGAGAGGCCGAATGTTGTGGCCTACCCCAGAAGAGGAAGCGATGAACGTTAGAGGGCTTTAACTGTTTGGATGTAAGTGGTAGTAGTTCGAAAGAGCTTTTTCAGCAGTCTCAGTCAATCCGCGATTTGTCACTGTTCGTTCTAGCTTTACATGAGCGGACAGATGGTATTGACCCATCAAACAAGTACATCTACCGTGCCCTCGAATCTTTCAAGAGCTGAGCAAGCCACAACACTTCATTTGCAGTCACTGCACCTACCTCGATACTTTTTTCTCCGAAACTTGAGCAGATTTACGAAAAACAACTTCAAATACTTTAGGTCCTTCATGTGGTAAGTGTGAAGTACGACGAACCCAAGGATCACCACCACCGGACGACTACATGAGCAAAACGGTGCAGTGCTTCGAGGAATTCGCCCTGATTTACGCTAATCAGAATGTCCGCAATCTCAGACCGAATTTCTATCTTCTGAATTTGACGTGAGTGTCGAATTTTCTAAGGGAAGATATTTTAACAAAAATCTCTACACTAACTATGCATGGAACATCCACTCAACATCCAATAATGTTCTGCCGTAATAATTATGAGAGCTTCACGTCGGCATGTGTTAAATTTCTCGAAATCCCCTACCGAAATCTTCTAAAATTGGGGCATTTGTCCAATCAATTCAATGATAGACCTGATTCCGACACCGAATTTAATGG